TAAACCGACCGTTCTACGTCGCCGACTCGCAGTAAAAATGACGTCATTTTACGCCAATGTAGCTTATAGACGTGGCATTGTCCACGCTGGAAGGCAGCGTAATGCAACAGCGTCGTACAACACACTAGTCAAGCTATCGTAGGCCACTAATGATTTTAACGCTGAGAAAGTAACGAGCACGACAGCGGTAAGGAAATGGACCGTGGGCGCAGCGAGGGCGAACTCCTGGGAAGAGGGGAGGGGACGGGGAAGAGAGCCCCCCGCACCCTGGAACTACGCGAAAAACTAGGAATAGAGTTGTAACATTGGCAGGTGATGATTCCCACCCCATTCCACACCACTTAATGTCTGTGTTTACAGCTAAGGGATGAAACAGACAGACAACCGTACCCACATTCCTCCTTAACATATATCCTCTTCACATGTTTCACACGTATAATCTGCTCCCTCACCATCTCCGCTTTCCTTCCTTCCGCTCCTTCAACCCTTCCCGTCTCATTTGATTTCGTTTTACCTTGGTTTAGAATTACTTTAGGCTTTAGTTTACTCTAGTTTTAGCCTTAGACCTGGGCACTGGTGCCTGTGCCGCTGCGGGAAGGTGAGGGAGGCGCGGAGGAAGGGAGAAGGCCGTGGGAGAGGGGAAGGGGGAAGCTGAAGACCCATCACCGTAACGATCCACCTATGCCCGTAACGAGTACCAGAACAACGAGTGCCTTTTGGCAAGCAGCTGTTTTCGGAAAATCAACAGAACGCAGTTTGACGGAAAAACCGTAACCCAAACAACCAATTTAGTTCCAAAAACAGGTTTATTACAGTACAAACATCATACAGAAACGCTATACAAGGCCGCGGTTACGGTAAAATAAAATACAGTAACTCAACAGGGCAGCTACAGAAACTAAGGTACGGTTAAACATTAATAAAAAATTTATAGCGAAAAATGGTAAAAAACAGAATTTACAGTAAAATAATAATACAGAATTAAATTATTTACAGTAAAAATGCAGAATTACAGAACACTAAATTTACGGTACAGAACTTACAGTACAATAATTTACAGTATTTAATCTACAGTAAATTAAATAGTGAAAACATTGCAGTAAAAACAATACAGAACCCTAATTTACAAAAACCATTATACATTACTTCACGATGCACTAAGGAGACTACAGTATACGAATACAGAACAAACTACAGTAAGCACGAGAAGATATAAGCAGGAAAAGATCACAAATTTTCTTCTTCCTCCTTAGTTCCTGCAACTGTCCAAGTCGGCGGATGGGCCGTCTCGACGCGTTGCCGCAACCGTCCAGCGCTCTGCTCGTCACAGTCCAGGCAGCGCGCCCTGGGCATGATTTCACGAGCAGGAGCTCGATCCATCAAATCTAGTACTGGGCGGTCCGGGCGAAAACAGACGGCGCGCATCGCATTCACTGGATACTTCGTTCTGCAGCGCGCGCACGCCCCATTAATAACCGGAATGCAGCCGCGGGTACAACCGCTTCGCCCGTATTCGTCCAAGCATTCATCACGACGACGACGTGCACCTGCACCGTCAACTTATTCCCATTCCTCTAG